CTTCTCATGAATAATACTGGTTACATGGGATGGCGAACTATTTTTGCGCCTTAAGTGGACAGAACCAGATAATGAGAAATACATTGCATTTCTTCGGGCTCTACCTCGGGGATTGGTCGCAGCGAACGAAACCAAATCTTACAATTCTGTGATCGTGGCCTTTTTTTGTGTGCTTTTAAATTGCCAGTGGGACATACATGACTGACAGCAACCTAGAGATCGTCTGAGAGAAATGGTTGAAAATCACGTCACTAGTCACCGAAAGCAAAATGAAGGCATATGGAGTTAGGAAAAACATAGCGCCTTCACATAAACAATCTTGACCCGGAGAATGAGACAGCGTACGTAGCTCTGAGCAATTAATATATATAGTTGATTCGTGAAAACAAGTTATCACACCGACCAGAGCTAGCGAAACAATGCCTTTCGAACCACAGCCTTATTTACAGACACGTGAGTGCACTTCGAAACTTGGTGGGTATACATACAACAAAAATGGCGGCCAACGCCTCATTGCCCAGTACTGGCCTAGTTACCAAGGGGTATTAGCCTCAATCCTTATACTTGCTTCTGTCCCCACACCATCGGTGTTTTCCAACATCAAAATTATAGCAAAAATGGTTCTGAAAAAGCTACCATCCTTGCATACACACAGTTTTCCTGGAGTGAATAACCTTCAACCTAAAGCACTGCAGGCAGCAGCCATTCACCTAGCCCAGCCACCTGCCGGATTTTTCCAGAGAAGTCCGTCTGATCCTACCAGTTACCGTCTGGTAACACTTCTATCTGCCCTTTCCAAAGTCATGGAAGCGACCATCGCTGACGTAATGATGGGCTACTTGGAAAACGTCGGCGATGCATCATTAGGATGGGTTGGTAATTTTCTCTGTGAACAGCAATTCTAGGTTAGTGACCGAACATTTCTGTCTGACCCTAATCGAGTGGAGTGCGACGACCTTGCGAGAGACAACACCTCAAAAATGTTACTTTTCCGGATAAGGTTAAAAGTTGGCCGGCGATCAAGAGAATGGACGACCACAAGATCCTCTAGGTACGACCTAGAGGGGACCTGGCATTCACTAGAATTCACTGCCATTCAATGTGGTCAAGTGACACGTTGTCCACATCCGCCATAGACACGCCTACCTCTAGATAATTGGGGCATATGACCTGCAGACAGGCCCTCAGGAACTGGACCTCGGTGTGCTGGTGCAGGATGACTTCGGTTATCCCAGACAGTCGGATTCCGTTTCGAAATTGGTAACCAGCACGTTGTTAGCTTGCGGATGGCATTCTCTATGACGCTCCATGCCTACGTGTGTTCCCACGTCGAATACGTAATCCAGACTTAGCACGCTTGGCTAAACCGTGACCTTGCAGCGCTCGAAACTCACCATGGTCGAGCAACAAAATGTGTCAAGAGATTTTGCAACCTTACGTACCAGCTGCGACGAAAACCACTCGGCGTGTTCAGTAGGCGCTACAGTTGGTTACGTGGAGACGTCATATTAGTCTACCAGATACGGAACGACCCTACTTACACATGTTGTCACCTACCGTAACTCATCCCGAATAACAACTTCACGGGCAATAGCCTGAAACCGAGTCAACAACACAGTCGGCTTTTCATTAAGGCTCGACGAACCTCAGCTCCTAGCGACTCAGTAATTCCGCCATAAGTAGCCATCGAACGTTTCGGTGCCTACGCTGTTAATTGCTAAACGACAGCCTGGACGTTAAAAATTCTATCCGACCGGACGCATTATCAGCACCATTTGCCAGTGGACCAGTTTAGATGTTATCACATTTGTGGAAGAGGATAAATATATTAACAAACATGTATTAGAACGATCATCTATGCTAGTGACGGATATGTTCAAAATGTCCGCCGGCGTTCTGCATGTAGTGCAGCAACCGCTTGATGCAGTTGGCGAGCGCTTTCTCTAGTGTATCCCTCGCGATCCCGCGACGTTCATTCACAATATTTTCTTTCAATTGGTCCAGCATACGCGGCTTTGTTTTGTACACTCGCCGCTTCAGATAGACCCATAGACAAAAGTCCATGGGCTTCAAATCTGGTACGCGAGCAGGTCACTCCATTAGTCCACCGCGTCCGATCCAATGGTGGCCAAATTTGTCAGTGAGGTAAGCACGCACCGTTTTAGCAGAATGTGCAGGTTCACCATTCTGCTGCCACCAACTGGTACTGCATGCCCCTTCGGCCTCCAACTGGGGAAGCACAAATGTCTGCAGCATTTCCAAGTACGACGATGCTAGGAAGCTAAGGCTTTAGTACTTCCAAACAACAACCTACCGGTCACGTTCCCGGAAAAGAAATATGGGCCCAAGATTTTCGGGCTTGTTAATCCAGTCCAAACCATCAGTTTCATATTGTGGTGCATACGTGATGCGGTAAATCTTCGTGGCTTGCTGGTAGCACAAGAGTACTATTTCATTTTTTCATGCAGATGAAACAATGCTCCATCTGTAAAGATAACAGAACCAATATCCCCGTGATCGAGAAACCAGCGGCAAAATTCATGCCGCTTCTCCGGATCGCATGGATTCAAAACCTGCACGTGTAGTGCACTGAATCTCCGAAAGTGTTGTTCCCGTAATATCCGGTGTACCGCATATCGGGTCGTGTCACAGTGCTGTGCCATCCGACGAATGCTGAGATCGGGACTTTTGACACTACACTGATTGCAGCGCAAGCTGAACAGTCGTCCGTGGTGATGTGAGGCGGTCCGGTTCTCTTCGTGTCACACACAGTCCCAGTTTGCTCGAACTTCTTCACGAATTTGAGCACGTACCGGATGGTGACGTGGCCGCATTCATGCGTTCATTGCATTATGTTTTCTTGAAGCTGATGCGGCGTTTACACCGCATTCACCGTACCGCCGCATATCAACGTGCGCCGAGTAACAGACACGTTGCGTGACCCCGACTGCTTTGTCTGCTCGTGCCCAATTACCTGTGATTAAATAACATTGACAAGAGTTGCAATGCCGAACCTCACCCTCCGTTGAGGTGCCAACACGTGCGCACATTCACGCCGCAGTCTTGGTTGCTCAGGCCGATTTCGCTGCCTAGCCACCGAAACACACACAGATAACTGTCAATCGCCCCAACGCCTACAGTTGACCAGGGCCTTCAGCACTCAGCGCGAAGTTAGCTGACAGCTAACGAACGCCGGAACCCCGTTGTCGCTGTCTGTACTCATCTCGCTCGATGATCAAAACGGCCTCATGTCAGTGCGTCTTTACCAGGTTCTGCCTACACTTAGCTGAGCTCTGCACTAAATGACTTATCTGCCGAGAATTCCCTACGTCCTCACCATCAAGGTGTGAGAGAAATTCATGTCTCTGCACGCGCAATAGTAATTTGCGATTTTTGCTAAACATTGGATGGCGATTGGATGCTGGGGATAACAGTCGTAAATGACCGGCGTTCACCATATGCGAGCCACGGTAGGTAAATGAACGCGATCATCGGCCTTGTTCCGTCACATTTACTGTACTATTTTGCCTGACACGCCTGTTGCCAGCTTATTTTCTCCTTGTAGCTTGGTACACTTTTCTTTCTTTTCAACTTTCGGTTAAAGTTTTGCTATTTACTAAAATTATCTGGTGCCAGTGTTTTATCTCTCGTATTTTCCCATGGACCGCATAGACGCATACGTTTGTTGGTTGTTGCTGGTTTCCCTATGGCTTTCGCGACAGTCACACAGGTAAATAATGTCTCTTACAGCACTTGTTTGTAAGATTTACTATATATTTTCACTAGACTGAGATGGATGGCGAAAATTTCAGTTTCGGCCATATTTTCCGTGCTCCTTCAATCATGAGTTTCTGAAATTAACCTTTATATGCTGGTTTTTCAATCACCGTCATTGACAAATCTTCAAAACATACGTTTACTCACTATGTATTTACCGGCAAGGGAAATTCGTATTTATGAAGCTAATACAGAAATCTAATGTAACATCCATGTCAACGTGGGTGTATCTACTGGACAATTAGTTGCTGTAATCTACAGATCGCTTGGACGTTTTGAGTTAACGCGTTCCCACCGGATCAACAATGAAAAAAGCCGGAACTGGCAATCAACTAAAAACAACAGATATACAGCACCTCAATAATCTATGCTTGGGGCACAGAGGTTTCAACAACGGCAATAGCCAAAATAGCCAACAAGTTTGGCTCCAAGAAACACGGGGGGAATCTATTTGTCTCACAGCTTTGTGACTTAAGAACAGGCCTATTGGACCAGTCAGAGAGAAAGGAGATTACCCTAAGCCGTGGGTGTGAGAATCTGTACATTACGCACAGTGATGGCCTTTGTGTCAAGTCTATACAGTGGAGAAACAAACAGTAGGACTATCAAACCAAATGGTTTTCGTGTGTGTGACATTCACTCAGAACAACATTGCAATATTGTCACGTCACATGCGGGGCGAGGTAATGTGTGCACAGTGGATAGATTGAAACATCTTTGTGTACCGTTAACACATTGGGCGTTACTACGTAAAACGGTTGCGACGTTTGCATCGAAGTAAGAAGAATAGGTCATCCACCTTCAAAAAAATAAACCTAATTAACCCAACACCGGTAATCCAATGTAATAAAATAAGGTTTTTGGCCAAGGAAGAATTGGGTACATGGTAGAGGGAATCACAGCCAGGGGATCATTGAACGGGATGAAGGTATCACAGTATAGGACATTTAGGATTATTCTACCCTTTCTATCGCATTTGATGCAATTACTAAGGCTCTTGACTCTCATTTATCCGTCCCGCTGTCTGCACAACTTATTGATGTTATTTGTACACATGATTATCTTGGTTACAACCATGCTTTCCATGGAAGCTAAAGCAATAACTAACGTGAAATATTTTGAATTCCTACTTCAAAATTTTTCACTATAGATACAAATGTGGTCACAACGAACAATCACCTGAACACCAAAGTATTTCCCTCTAATGTCAGAAGAAAGCGCAGGTTCGTTTCTTCCGATTGATGATAAACAACCAGTTGCCCATCGTCAAAGTTTTGCGGTTTCATTTCGAAGCCCACAAGAAAGGATTCTGATGCACCAGAAGAGGATTTATCTTCTAGCTCGCCGACCACTGACTTTCGTCCAGATCCGGGGAATACGAACTGCAAATACCCGCCTTCTTCAATTTTCGGAAACTTGTATCCATCGTTGGCTGTGGAAAGTGTGTAGACATACGTACATTGCCTCAATAAAATAAGGAACATCACAAAATTTTGCAGACACACACATAGTGAATGTAGTTTACTACTTGCACGGCATGCTAGACGCTACTCCCTTAAGTCCCACTATTGTGAACCGAAATTCGTCGATCCCGATAACACTAGAAGATGCAATTTTGTCTAGAATAACTACCGTTTGGTATAGATTGTAAAAACTGCTACCTGAAAGTTTAACTCATCTAGCTTTATTTGTCTCAATAACTGCTCCCACCCGAAAGTTTACTCTGTCCTGGACACATAGGATATACGCCACTACTTTTACTAAGGGAAATCTTTTGTTCAGCGTGTTCACTCTGGTCAGCTTCCCTATTGCAAACTATTTTCTGTGCAGATATTAACCCAGTAAGCATGTTGCGCCCAAACTCTTCGGAAGCTGAACTTTACTACTAAGCTGCTTGTCTATATCCGGGTGGTTATTATCAGCTTCCTACCCCAGGCAATCCTCCAATCCGAAGTCAAGCATGTACTGGTGTCATCCCATGAAAAATACTTGTTGCCTTACCGTTTCTGACTTGGGACAGTTACGAGAGCCAGGCAATTAGTTTCAGGGTACGCAATACACAGATCAGTTGCAGATGAATTGTCAAGAAAATCGTGAAATCCAATAAATTCCGAACACTGCTCAGTGATTTCAACTCATTGAACCCTATATCAGCAGTCCAGCAGAGCTCTTACGTCATATGGGTCGCCATACTCTGACTAAGTATGGAACTCAGTCGATGCCATTGGAGGGCAATGATTTCCTATGATCATACTTATGGTTTAACGCAACACCAGCGTCTTGAGCGATTGTGTGCTGCATTTAGAGATGATGTGCCTTCAAGAATCACCGTGTTTAAGCTGCTTGTGGAATTCAAGCTTGGCTGGCGGTCCCTGGATGAGGAAGCACGGTGTGGTCGAAATTTGGAGGACACCACCGCGGAGCACATCATTGTTGTGCAAGCGATGCTGGAGGAAGACGCGTGGGTGACCGTAGTACAACGGTGAAAAGCCATCCGGATCACACCGGGATAAATCCACACTATCCCAAATGAGAAACTTGGCCTCAGAAAGATTTACGCACTTTGAGCACCCAATCAGCTCAGGGAGGACCAGAAAGCAACTCGCGTGAATTGGTGCCAGACCATGTTTTAAGGTTCGATGTTGGACGTCTTAATGTTGTTTTAGAGATCCTCATTGGTGATCAGACGGTGTACAGTTTCGACCCAGAGACAGAGCAACAATCGGCTCAGTAGACGGCCGTTGCTGGGGTGCCGGCAGTGCCGGCTGTGAGCGCACTGCAAGCAAGCAGATAGTAGCGGTGATTATACCAATACCAGTCAGGTAGCTACTGTACCGCTCCTACAGCAAGGCACAGTTACCGGAGACTTGTATGCCACCAACGTTTTTCCACAAATGCTGCAAGCTGTAGACAGGCATCGTCCAAAGCCACTGGCATGAGAGAGTTTGCTGTATCAGGACAACGCACGTGCATACAGGTCTCATATCATCGTAGATTTGCTGCCTAGAGAACGCATCTAGGTGGTTATTCACCCAATCTACAGTCCAAACTTGGCTCTGTGTGACTTATGTGTTCCCAGGTATCAAGCGCATGAAGCGTGGCATCCGCTACGAGTTGCCAGAAGCTGCAGTAGCGGTTTTTACTGAGCTGTTTGATTGGTTACCTGCTTCAACACGGTCAAGCTGCTTTTCCAAATGGATTTTAGGCATAGAACTGTGTATGATTGCTGGCGGAGAGTGTTTTGAGAAATGGTAGCGCTTATTTCGTTAAAAAAATAAAAGATTTTGTACAGCCGGAAACTTGTTGCTCTACCCTGGTAGGTCAGTATATCTTCATGCGTCCAGCTTACTTATTCAACGATTACATTACAATCAACCATAGGCTCTGACTGGATGAAATACAGAAAACGTTACGTATGGTATTCCCTTGAGATATGGTGTGAACCGAACGATGAGGCGACTACCTTGTAAATAAAACATCAGCATCACATCTGTTTTGAGCCTGGAAAAGCTGTTAGATTCTAACTTACAAATGTCCGTATACAACGGTATACTTGTTGTCGCAATTAACCAAACCTTAGGCATTTCGATCACTGGGACACCAACTGAAGGGTAAGGGAATTGCGTTTCGCCCAATCAAAAACACTGCCATCCAGTACGCGTTTTGGACCCGATGGTTATAGAGGTAGATGACCTAACAATCATCCCAATTGTCCCCGATTCGATGCCTGCTATCTCTACCTGATGAGAACACACAAAAGCTTAGGAACGCGCAGTGGAGTACAGTGTTTTCGGGGGGGGGGGGGGGGAAGCACCCAACACCACAAATATGTCATCAACATAGCAGCGGTAAAGGTACAACTTGCGCTTTTTGAGTTTAAACTCTCCATGAGAATATTTGATAGGATCGGCCCAAGTTAGATACTCATTACCACTCCAGCCCGCTGACTGTATATTCGTTAAGTATAAATCGCGCATTAAACCTGCATCTGGGCAAAAGTTCTTTTACGGTCGCGATGAGTATGTGGATATGCTTCTCGTTCTGATCAGGATTTGCACAGATGTGATTTATTGTTTAAAATATCGGCGCGGTTGTGAACAATGAGGTGAAGTCCAGAAAACACATTGTCAGACCTGAAGCGTTAACATCATTTTCTGTACCTACAAATCCAAAGCTATTGTTCAAACTGTGCGCTGCTAGTGCTTTTGGATGGGCTCAAGTATTTCAAGTAGCCACCGTGCAGTGGACTGGTACGGTGAGTCCCTCATATCCAAAATTTTTTCGTTATCCTTAACTAACCAAAGCAATGGCTCAACCGAGCTGTGGTGACATGTAACCAGGAAATTTTATACTTTCTATCCCACGGTCCAGCTTACTAAAACCATTAACTCGCTCGTCTCCGAATACTCCTACATCATTTACGGTCGTCTGAAGGTAAGAGAGAGAAAAGCTTAAGCAAAAGTTTGTCCCGTAACAATTCTAACCCGAACTACTTGGAGCTTGCCCAACAATATCTTATGAAGGCTAATGCATGATTTGACACTGCTGTACAACTGGGTTAAATAATAGAGAGTACGGTGTACTTGGGTTAAACTTGCAGCACTGTGTAACTCAGAAAATTAGCGAATAAGTCAATGCGTTGGTTTCACCAGAGTTCAGGAAGGCGATACACCATAATATTCAAGCAATCAGACATACGATTCTGTGGAATAGGCTGCCAAACAATGTAATCATACATGATAACGTTGCAAACGTTCGTAACAAATTCTAAACTTTCCTTGATCCAAGGGAGATATTGACCACATTGTCGTAGTGAATTTCGTTGCGTAAGTTATTTCATTGCGGACCAAAAGTATCAAGCATGTAGTTCCATGAACAATGAATGTTTACTGAACATGAAGCACTGCTTTACAAGGCCCGTTTGGGTGGTCTGGCGGGTTATCGAAAAACATGACTGAAAATCTGCAGTTAGTAGTTTTATTGTCAAAGAGAATGAATTTGTCGCTTTTTGGCAGCAGCCCTGCAGTCCGTATTGTTTCGCAGATCCGATAGTCGGCAAGTCCAACGTATTTCCCGGGAGTAGGATGGAGAGTAGTGCCCAGTAACAAAATGTAAATGGAGAAAGTTGTAAAGGGAAAGTTGAAGATACGCATACAAGATGCGCTTCCTTGGCTGTTGTTGGATAGCTATCGATGTGGTGCAGTACTATTCATAGAGACCGAGGAATACCAGACATTGTGTGAATTAGAAAAGCACGAATATACTGACATGACACTGAGGTCTAGCACCCCCCTTTGACTGGTGAGATAAAAATAATGGTTAGGAAGTAAATTTCAGACATTTACTCTACTCCTTTATCCCTACATATTACAATATGACAGGCGCACAATACTCTTATGAGTCTCCCATCACAAAGACATTTTGAACACACAAAACATCAGCATTTCCATCCTCAGTTTCTGACTCCTAGCCCTTCACTAAAACCCATCCCGGCGAATCCCATGATGAAACCACGATATATAACGGGTAGAAAATTTGACACTTAACAACTTCACTAGGGCCGTCGAGATAAAGATAGCAAAACCGTGTACTGCGTTCGAATGCATGATGGTGCATTCAGTGACGATATAGCGGGAGGATGGATGGGCTAAGGCACGCCCCACATACTGACTCTGCAACAGCAGGCCTGAGTCTTCAAGCAACGCCCAGTATTTCTTCTCCGCTTACTGTCCAAGGTCATGGAATCCATGGTTGCCGATGCTTTGGTGTGTTATCCGGAAAATTGCAACAATATTGCTGCCGAGCAATACAGCTTCCGTCGACAGCGATCACGTAGCACGATTTTACCAATCGTACGGAGTAGTTAGACCGAGTCCGCTGACGCTAAGGAGGGGGATGACGTGATCTACTTAGATTTCTTAAAGGCGTGCGATCGTTAGGACCAACGGATTCTCCTCTATAAGCTGCAAAATTACGGGGTCGGTGATCCTCTCTTGAGCACCATCGACAGCTTTCTCGTGCGACGATATTAATAGTTAGCTCTTTATCGGACCGCATACAAATCGAACTTGATGTGTCACAAGACTCAGTTCTAAGACCATGATTGCTTTTGGTATTGACTACTGAAATTATACAGACAAACGCTTCAAATTTCTTCCTTTTTTTCTGATTAGATTAAGAGTTGGCGCCAGATTCGGGCGGATGCCTGCTGCTGAAATTCAACGTGACCAATTACAGGGTACTATCCATACGACATCGGAGTACCTATTTTTACAACCTAGGAACGCAAGTACTGCAGCGAGGTTCCGTCGAACGCGTCCTAGGCGTACTGGTTCAGGATAGTTTTGCTTGTTCCGAGAAATTAGAAGAGGAATCAAAAACCGGTAACCAACACGTCTGCCTATTACGACGGAGGTTCTGACAACTGGACAC